ATTTTCCAGGACATTATCCGTTATCCATTATCCATTGTAACCCTTTAACCCGAAACACACAATACAATGCGTAATTTAAAATGCAGGTAAAAACCTGTGAATTCTTTGCTTAGAGTGTAGCATGCTGACTACTAATACACTGCTTAAAACTATAATTGTTCAGAATGTGAAGTTTTACTAGTTTACTAGCTAATAAAAAACTTGTAATCATTCAAAAATGTGTAAGTGTTCAATAATTCAATGTTGTATGTAAAAATAGTTATTTATATTTTAAAATTACATTATGCAATTATATTATTTTACGAACAAATCTAAATGAACATATAAAAATGTAAATATATGTTTTATATAACATAAAACAAATTTTTTTTTTGCTGAGATTTGATGTAGTGACACAATTTCGTGTGGTGTTATGTAATGACGTCATTGCGCAGTGACATCACAACGTCATTAAGCAACTTTTAGCAACAAATCGACCTTCCTTTAGCAACTTCCCCTGAAAATTAGTTGGCAACACTGGTAAAAGTAGCCTACATTTTGAATACACAACAGAAACTGAATTTAAACTACTGCTCTGCACCCAGCAGGGTCCAAGCAAGCTGAACAGAGAAAAGTGTCATTTCGTTTGTTTACAAAAGGCCAAGCTATTTTTATATCTAGCCTATCTTTAGAAAACGTTAGAAGCTCCTTGCAACGACAAACACTGAAGTTAGCACTTCAACATAGGCCATATATTTTACATACATGGTAAAAATGGTAGGCTATATTTTGACTTCATTTGATGCTGGCGTAACTCAAGAGTGCTCTTCTACGACGGTCTGTGTGAGCTGGTTTGGTGTCAGTCTTAATATGGACAAGGAAACAGAAGAATATTGTCACCTCATCCTGGAGAGACAGTAAAAGACAGAGAGAGTTTGTTTAAAAAATGCCTATATGTACACAGCTGTTCAAAAGTTTGGGATCAGTAAGATTTTTAATGTGTTTTAAAGAAGTCTCTTCTGTTCATCATGGCTGCATTTATTTGACCAAAAATACAGAAAAAACAGTAATATTGTTATTGCCATTTAAAATAATGGTTAATATATTTTAAAATATAATTTATTTCTGTGATGCAAAGCTTATTTTGCATCATCATTATTCCAGTCTTCAGTGTCATATGATCCTTCAGAAATCATTCTAATATGCTGATTTATTATCAATGTATTATATCAATTTTCTTTTGGAACCTGTGATACTTTTTTCAGGATTATTTGATGAATTAAGTAAAATTTCTTACAATATAAGTCTTTATTATCACTTTTTAACACTTCCTTGTGAATAAAAGCATTAATTTCTTTCCAAAGAAAGAAAGAAAGAAAAAAAATTACTGACCCCAAACCTTTGAACGGTAGTGTATATATGCATTTATGTACACACAGCATACACTTTGACTGATCGCATTTTGACCCTGTTTTAGTTACTCTCTTTGAGTTACACTATCAGGATTTGCATCACCCTAAAGAAAGAGACGACATGGTCAGAACACACATATACAGATGCTGCTCTGTTTTTTATTCAGCTTGTAAACACACACACTGGAAGTGCACGCTCTCAAACTAATAATCTCTCATAGCATGGCATGCACTGTATCAACATATTAAATACTTTTCTGAATGGATTTAAGTGAATTTGTGCTCACCTGTTTTTCATTTTACACACTAGCGCTAGTCCATCATTGGCTGTCTTATGGACATTTCTTCTTCCTAGAAAGTAAAACATTTTAGTCAAAAATGATTGAAACATCAAACCAGTCAAATGTCCAGACAAATCAGCAATATATCACAGTATGACTAGAAATGCCTCAAAAATGATGGCCATGCAGTTTCAACTATTTAAAGCATGAAGTTGAACGTTATTATTATTATTGTTATTATTTTACATTTCTCTTTCTAGAATTTACTAATTTCATATTAGTTTGAAGATAGGGGTGTATACAATTTCTCAAACTAATGATTTTCACTTTAATATTATGCTGAATCATAACAAATGCAAGTGATGTTCAGCAAGTAATTGTAACTTTATAGTAAAATCTTAAAAAAACATTTGAGAGGTCACATTCCTATGTGTATTGTGATGTTACCTTCAAAACACAATAAAATGCTCACTTGTACACCTTAAATATAGACAATTCAAGAAACCAGGCAAAAAGAGATTCAATATAAAAAATATGAAAAATTTTTTTAAGGAAAATAGGCTGTTACTTGCGTTGTTTTTTTCTGAACTGTCTTCTGACTGTTCAGTTGAAGGTTTCTCTTTTTGTTTTATAGGTTCAGATGTTGCGTCAACTTGTGGTTCTAAAATTGCCAGCCAATTGTATAAAACAATACCTGTTTTCTTAGAACTTCGACTTCTTCAAATGGTTGATATTTTTCATGAATGAAATCAGTACTGAATATGTTTAAAGAAACAACTGCAACACATGTCAGAAAATTGCATGAACACTGAGTGTGATGTTGACGTGTTGTTGATATCTCCCTGGTCCTCTGTGGTCAAGTTTGATATCTGTAGAGAGAGGTTTCATTCAGCAGTTTGACTCGTCCTGTGTGTCTCTCGCTCTGTTCATGTGGGTATATTTCTTCAGAGTTTGTTTTGTTTAGTGGAGTAAATGTCCATGTTGTTCAGGTTTATCCTCTAGTTCTCCTGAGTGTCCCGTCACCTCAACTGCTTGTTCATTCTCATCCAGATCCAGACATTTACATTTGCACTGCACATTTATGAAAACATGCAAATATCGATTGCATTTTAAAAGATACGTATTTCAGGCAAACTATTTTTATTTACCTTTAACTTTTAAGTGAATGTCTGTATAAGTTTGTGAAATCTGACACCTGTAGAACCCTTTATCCTTCTTTCTGAGGTCAGAAATGAGCAGAGACAGATTTGCTGGAGAATTTTGATTAAACAGCTGTTGTTCTTATCTTTAAATACTTCAGTCCACTGGTTTTCTCTTTTGTAGTTTACTGTAGATTGAGGGTAAGTACAGGAGCAGGGCAGCAGGACTGATCCACCTGTGTAACCTGTTACTTCTGTAAGCTCTTTATAACATGAAACATGACAGCCTTCTTGACAGTATTTCTATTTATATATTTTTATTTATTCACTTATAATGATAATCTATGGGGTTAACACAATGAATCAAAAACATTAATTGTACGTGGATCTTTAACAACCCCTTCCCCTTTTCTTGTTTAATGATTGTATTTTATTTTTTATTATTATCTTTATATACCCTCCACTAGTATTGGCACCCTTGGTAAATATGAGCAAAGGTGGCTGTGAAAATAAAACTGCATTGTTTGTCTTTTTGATCTTTCATTAAAAAAAACACACAATTCTAACCTATCATTGAAGTAAAAGTAAAACAGTTGAAATCAGGGGGGGGGGGGAATCTCATTATGAAATATATGTTTTTCTGTTGTTCACATTGGCCACAATTATTGGCACCCAATTATTTCAATGTCCTTTTCCTAAGATAACAGCTCTGAGTTTTCTCCTATAATGCCTGAGAACACCTGGTGAGATCAGAGACCATTCCTTCGCAGAATCTCTTGAGATCCTTCAGATTCCCAGCTCCATGTGCTTCTCCTCTTTAGTTCACCCCACTCATTTTCTATAGGGTCCAGGTCAGGGAACTAGATTGGCCATGGCAGAAGCTTCAATTTGTGCTCAATGACACATTTTTGTGTTGATTTTGATGTTTGTTTTGGATCATTGTCCTGATGGAAGATCAAACCACAGCCCATTACAAGATTTCTAACATAGGCAGTCAGGTTTAGATTTTTTTTTATCTGTTGGTATTTGAATCCATCATAGAATCCATGATCCCATGTATCTGAACAAGATGTCCAGGACCTCCGGTAGAAAAATAGGCCCACGACATTAAAGATCCAGCAATAGCAAAAAACAAAGATCCAGCAGTATATATAATTAGGACAATATAGACACACATCCTCTTCCAGGCAGGTTTGTAACATCTTTATTTGACTGGAACTTCTTAATTATTGCCCTGATGGTGGAAATGGGTATTTTCAATGCTTTAGCTATTTTCTTACAGCCACTTTCTATTTTGTGAAGCTCAACAATCTTGTTCTGCACATCAGAACTATATTCTTTGGTTTTACTCCTTGTGATGGATGATTAAG